GGCATTGTGGCAGGCGCCTATAGTCCCAGCTACTCAGAAGGCTGAGGCAAGAGAATCACTTAAGCCCAAGAGTTTGAGGTTTCTGGGAGCTGTGACACCATGGCACTCATGTCACCATGAGGGTGACAGCTTGAGACTCTGTCTCAAAAAAAAAAAAAATTATCTAAAAAGTATTTGGGTATTGTATTCACTCCCTCAAGCTCTCTTTCGTGGACAGTCCCAAGGCTTTCTCAGGTGTCTGCCTGAATTTAAAAGTGACAAGGGAATGGCCAGACCTCCCAGTGATCTGTGCATGTCACCAGCACACGGATTCCCTTCCTTGAGAAGAGACGGTAGGGTCTATGGCTCCTCTGTTGGAGAGAGTCCACTGCCACCCACTACAAGGATGACAGGTGAACCACCAGCTGTATCTCCCCATCCCAAGTCCATGGAACAAGGGTGTAGAAGGGGAGGGGACTAAGGGCAACCGAGAGGCTCCCGGGCTGAGGACCTGACCCCTGGGGCCCTCCTTCCTTGTCCCGCTCCTCTTCCTCTCTGACTTGAGCACTGAGGCTTCCTGAAACAGTCCAGTTCCTCATCACTGCTCAGGCATTTCTGCTGGAGCCAGGGTGAAAACACTCACTGTACAGAGCCACCCTCGACTGGAGGCTCCCCCAGCAGATGCTCAGGGGGACATCTGAGCAGGTCAAGTCCTTACCGTTGTAGGAGAGGCGAGGTTTGCTCAGACACATTATAAAGTGCATTTCCATCTCATCAGAAGCCACGGACTTGGAGCAAATGGGGCACTTGAAACCTGAAAGAGAGGAGAACAGGAAGACATGTTTTCTCGAAATCCAGCACATTCACAACACACGTGGACACTGACTACAGCCATGTGGGGTCAGAGTCAAGGTGGAGGATGACAATCTGGGCAGAATCTAGACCTGAGCCTCCTTCATTAAGTCACTTGAGATTATGCCTTTTTACCACGTAGCCTTCAACTCCCAGCTCTTATTAGGGCCCTCTCTCTGCCCCATAGCCCTTGTTGACATTTAAAAGAGGTCATGACACCTGACTTGAGCTTTACTTTCTTTTTTTTTTTCTTTCATTTAAAAATATGGAACGCTTCACAAATTTGCGTGTCATCCATGCGCAGGAGCCATGCTAATCTTCTCTGTATCATTCCAATTTTAGTATATGTGCTGCCGAAGCAAGCACGAGCTTTACTTTCTTTCAGACTTTTTCTCCAGTGAGTCTAGTGGACAATGGGGATAGGGAAGCACCGAATCAAGACACCTGCAGGGTCAGCCTTTGACTAATAGTATAACATCGTTCTGCCACACAGCCTTTAAACCACATGGCTGGGCCATTGCAGGAGGAATTCCCGCAGTCACCAACACCTGCCTCCCTCACCCCAGAGTCCACTCTGCCTCCCTTGTGGCCAAGGCAGCTGTCTTTTGAGAAGTTTGTGAGCTGTGGAGTGGCCCTCCTTAGCGCTCCCAAATGCTATACAAGCCCCGTCAAATGCCACCCAAAATAACAATTATTTCATGGTGCCAGGGGAATACAGGGTATTATGATCCTGCCATTTTATTTATTTATTTATTTTGAGATAGAGTCTCACTTATGTTGCCCTCAGTAGAGTGCTGTGGCATCATAGCTCACAGCAACCTCAAACTTTGGAGCTCAAGCCATTCTCTTGCCTCAGCCTCCCTTGCAGCTGGGACTACAGGTGCCTGTTACAATGCCTGGCTATTTTTTTGTTTGTTTGTTTAGCAGGCTTGGGTTGGTTCGAACCCACCAGTCCCGGTACATGTGGCCAGCACCCTAATTGCTGAGCTACGGGCGCCAAGACAGATCCTACCATTTTATTACCAAAGAAGTGCAGACTGCTCATAAACCCAGAGTTTCAATTGATACAGAATTGGATCCATACTGGGGAATGCTAGTTGAGAATCTTCTGAGTTGAACTCCACTAAGCAACCTAATTCCTTCATCTATTTTTTCATACAACACACAGACGAACAATTTTTCAATTTTTTTTCCATTTTACTTTCATTGAAATCATTTTGAAAACAGATCAAAACTTCTCCATGTAAATTCTACTGAAGAAGATCCCCTGCCATTGAAATCTCATTCATTCATCAAACTGTACATATCATAACTAGTCCCTCTGGTGACTATGATTCCTACCTGCCCAGCCTGGCCTTCTAATACAGCACATCTAACTGCAGCTAAGCCTTCAACAACACAGGGTAGAACTTCACAGTTTATGACTATGATTCCTACCTGCCCAGCCTGGCCTTTGAATACAGCACATCTAACTGCAGCTGACCCTTCAGCAACACAGGGTAGAACTTCACAGTCTACATATGTCTGTGGCATTTCCCTCTGCCTCTGCCACCACTGAGACAGCCAGAGCAGCCCTCTTTTCCTTCTGAGCCTCCTCAGTGTGAAGGCGACAAAGATGAAGGAAGACCTCTATGACGAGCCACTTCCACTTAATGAATAGTAGATATATTTTCTCACGATTTTCTTGTCTTCCCTGCCCCCTTCTGTCTTCTTTTAAAAGAGAAAAGGTCTCACTCTGTCTCCCAGGCTAGGGTGCAGTAGCCTGATCACAGCTCACTGCAGCCTTGAACCCCTGAGTAGCTGGGACTATAGATAGGCATGTGTCACTGTGCCTGAATAATTGTTTAATGTTTTTGTAGATGGCAAGGTCTACGTTGCCCAGGTTGGTCTTGAACTCCTGACCTCAAGTGATCCTCCCACTTCAGCCTCCCAAACCACTGGGGTTATAGGGATGAGCCCACTGTGCCTGGCTTTACTAACATTTCCTTTTCTCTAGCTTACTTTATTGTACGAATACAATATATAATACATATAACATAGAAAATGTGCTTTTCAACTGTTAATGTTAATCAGTTGTGAATGTTATTATTGGTAAGGCTTCCGGTAACCAGCGGGCTATTAGTTAAGTTTTGGGAGAGTCAAAAGTTATATGTGAATTGTTGACTATGTGGAGGCTGGCAGCCTTAACCCCTGAGATGTTTAAGGGTCAACTATACTGTTGTAAAGATTTGACTCTACTATAAATTTTGAGTCAAAGTTTTCCATATACGGTTTTATCTGATGCTGGTAATAACTATCAGCATTTCTTATGAAACAGATAAAGACTGAACGCTCAAGTTGACTGTTAGCTGTTCAGGATGGAGGAGTTCACACCTTTCCTGGTGACCTTCATGGGGTGGGGGGAGGACCTCGCTAACTCTGTATGGAAAGCTGTAACTCTGGCAGCCGGGTGGTCCTGAGCGACAGGCAGCAAGCTGGCACAAGCACTTGGCTTCAAGTCTTCCTCAAATCCTCTCTTTCTCAGTGACAATGCTCTGAACAGTAGGACCAGACAGAAAACTCAGGGTCTGGTTAACTATGGACAAAGTGGACACTTGACTTCATGGCACAGGGCTCATAACCTGACCTCCCCCCTCCTCACAGATTTCTTACATGTAGCATCTAAGTGTCTCAGCTAAAATGTCTTAGAAACGCTACCAACTCAACATCTCTGGCTATGCTTTAATATAAAAGGCTGTTATTTCTGACCTCTGGGTGGTTACAAAACCAGAAGCCTTAAAAGAAACTGGGAATTTCAGTTATCTAGCAATAATCAGATAACCCAGCTTACTGGGTTACTGGAAATACGTGGACCCCGTGTCACACACTTGATGGAGAGGTGAGGAATGAATGTGAATCTCACAGAATGAAGATGCTTTTTATGGCTAACCTAAGTCCCTCTGCTTTTTTCCCTTAAACTCCAAAGACCAAGGTTTTGCAGCCCTTTAAATGACTATAGGACACCTGCACTTTAAACTTGGTAAGCGGGCACCTGTCTGCAGGCCGAGGCTGCGGCAGGCAGGGACGAAGGTGCCCCACAACAGGCCTCCACCACCAGTCCCCGGCACTTTCACTGTGAAGTGTTAAAGGGATCTGTGACTAATGAGAAACCTTGCACCTCACAAGCATGTACTTTTCTGATAATTCAGAACAGATTCAAGGTTATCCTTATAATAGCATCATTTACTTCCCTATATTCCAACATGATTCCTTTAGTGTAGGAGCAGGGGGCAAGTTATCGCTAAGGTGTTGGGAAAGTAGGCCGCCCAACGAGAAGGTCTACAAGGGAATGTCACTGGACGTCTATGTCCTAGAAAAAAAGGGTGAGACTCACACTTAGAGCAATCCCCTCATACGGATGTGGGAACAGGCCCCAGTGAGGTCTTTAAGTCATACACAGAGACCAGCCTCAGATTTCTAACTTCCCAGCCTAAAGTTCTTTCCCTCGGGGAAGGAAGAGGGGACCACGGAGTTTCAACAACGAGGTGAGCTGGGAAATTACCTCCGGCAGCATCTACCTCAGGGTCTGTTATATGAGTGGGAAACGGCAAGATGGCCTGGACGTGCTGAGCTTCAGGACCATGGCAAGTAATCTACCCCTACCTTGGACCTTAGTGTCCTCATCTGAAGAAATGCGGGATTTTACCTCACTCCTGCATGGATTAAATGAGCTAAGAAAAAGGAAAGTGTGGCTCGGCGCCTATAGCTCAACCGGCTAAGGCGCCAGCCACGTACACCTAAGGTGGCGGGTTCGAATCCCCAGCCCGGACCGCCAAACAACAATGACAGCTGCAACCAAAAAATAGCCGGGCGTTGTGGCAGGCGCCTGTGGTCCCAGCTACTTGGGAGGCTGAGACAGGAGACTCCCTTGAGCCCAGGAGTTGGAGGTTGCTGTGAGCTGTAATGCCACAGCACTCTACCCAGGGGGACAGCTTGAGGCTCTGTCTCAAAAAAAAAAAAAAAAAGAAAAAGGAAAGTGTGCCGAAAAGCAGCAAATCAAATGCAGGATCATCGTCATCGTCACTCTTCGTAGCGCTTAACGAGAAGGAAAGCAGAGGAAGGTGAGGGGAAGAATTTAGGGTAACTGAGCACTCAGGTAATGGCCCAGCAGGAGCCTCGGTACAGGTCTGCTTTCCGCTGTGCAGTGGCCAGCGGCCACCACATTTCTGCCCTTCGCTGCTGGATACCCTTTCTGTTTCCTTCGAGCTTCTAGAGCACAGAACACCACTACCGGCATGTTCCCTACTACACGGTGGGAACAACAGTCTCTGTTTAACCTCTACCACCTCCTCCTGCCTGCTGGTAAATAATAGCTTGCATTTGTTGAGTCATTACTGGGGACAGCCACTGTGCTTTCCTGACGTGTGCTCTCATTTACTGTCACATAAACAGAAGGTAGGTACTGTCATTAACTCCATGTGACAGACGAAGACATCAAGGCCCAGAAGATAACTCATTCAAGGCTAATGTGGCCAGGAAGAGCCAGAGCGGGTGCCCAACACCCACGGAGTCTGCACGGTATGTCGGCGCCCTTGCTCGCCCGCTGACCAGCACAAGAGGAGGAGTTAGGTGGCAAAAAGAACACAAATACACTGAACATCAATTTGAATCCCCAAATACTAATTTCTGAATGAGTCCACACTGTTCCAGCAATTTCCCTGTAAATGCCCATGGTTCTGGATAATCTGAAACAATGGACAGTTTTCTTCTGAGAATTCTGCTAACACGGAAGATAAGAATTCTGCTTTCCACTTGGCCCTGAGCCTTCAGCACTGGTTGTTAAGATGCTGAGTTTGAAATTAACTTTTAGACAGAAAATAAAGGGCAAAAGGTAAGAGGGACAAAAAAACACAGAAAAGAGCTAAGGGGAAAAAAGACCAGCGTCCCCATATTCTGTCTTGAAAGGTCATCCAATGATCCAGA